GATCCGGCCCCTCTTCACACAGTCCGGTTAATCGCAGGATGTGCCTCCGACTGGCCAGGGTCCGAGCGCTCCCCACCTGGTCTGACAAAGTGCCAAGCAAGCCAATCCAAGTTGCACCTTGCCTTCCAAGAATAATCCTTGCCTTCCAAGTTTCCACTTGCCTTCCAAGAATAAATTCTTGCCTTCCAAATGTTCCCTTGCCTTCCAAGAGTAAATCCTTGCCTTCCAAGAGCCCCATGTTTCGAACTCACGACCTCTGCTCTGTCAGATTTGACATTGTTCGTCCTTTGCCAGTGGAGAAGTGCCATGGGGACAAAATGCACAGGTCTTTATTGTTTCCATTAATATTGGTTTTACTGATAATAATAGAGCTGAGTGCAAGCGTGAATGCATTGTATGGACCATCATCCCCAGTTGTTCAGTTAAATCCCTCCAACTTCAAGTCCAAGGTACGTGATTTGGAGTAATTAGCTATGCAAATTTTTATAGTTTTAAGAAAATTATGCGTAATGTGTGTAATATATATGAGAAGCATTTGACTTGTTTCTGTAGAAGTAAGATTTGATGAGTCATTATTTTTTACATTTCCGATAATGAATTTCCTAAGATTCTGGTGGGCATATATGATATGTATCCATTTGTATCTGTTTTGAGTATGATTGTCTTCTTCGGTGCGGTTTCTTGGATAAATTTTGAATTCTGCTTAACTGATATAGCTTTTTCTATGGTTTTGTCCTGTTTGTTGTTGAATTATGAATTTTCGTGCGTATTGTATGTGAATAAAATTAAAAATTCCAAATTAAAGCTACTAATCCATTCCGCAAGCATAATGTTTGTTAATTGCCATGTTAATGGTAATTCTAAAACCTGCCCGGGCGTTGACCTGAAAAAAAGGGGTCTAACTGAGTGAACCTAGGTTGAATCGGTTGTAAAAATAAATAAATATACTACACAAATTTGTGAAAAATATGTTCATATTCAAATTAATTAATATTTATTGGCAAAAACACTCAATAGACTTGGCTTTAATTTAATTTTCATTATATTCTTTTCTAATGTCAACAGAAAATGAGACAACAAATATATCAAAAGATTCAAAAAATAATGAATCACTTAAATATTTACATAGCAATTTAGCGTGTTATTAAAACAAAATTAAATGAGACAGATAGAGTAAATTGAAATATAAAAAGAAATTAAGTTCAAGAAATTATTTATTTGTACTTCGGATTTTTTTCTACATATTTTTAAATAAAACTAGCACATTATTATTAATGTAGTAGGGTAATACAATATAACATGTCTAGAGCAAGTGCTTCCAGCTTCTTGTCCCACATCAACTGCACTAGTGGAAGATGTTAAGGAAGCAAACTATGAAAGTCTGGCCACTAGTTTAAATCTTGTTTCTAGTTTCAATCGGCCAAACTGCCGGTTTTGGCGGTTGAACCGGTTCGTTGGCAAAGTTTTTCCTGGTTTATAATTATGCAGGTTTAAGTACTGACAGGACTGGTTCTTTGGCTGGTCCCAGTTTTCCTGGTTGAACCGATCGGTCCGTTTTGACAATATAGGTGATAATTAATATAAACAACTAGAATGAGTAGATGTCCAATCTTTAATTTTGATATAGTTATCTTCATTATCTCAATTACATTATAATTTTAGTTACATTCAGAATCTATGATTATCCTTTCTTAATTTTACACTTCACAACTGTCTGATAATTGCTACCATTTTGGTTTATTGTTGTATCTATCAGATGGAGTTCCAATTTGTAGCCGACATGTTGCTTATGGGCTGAAAGACAATTTTCTTAAATGCATTGTTGCAGGTCCTGAATTCGAATGGTGTTGTTTTAGTTGAGTTCTTTGCACCATGGTGTGGTCATTGTAAAGCATTGACGCCTACATGGGAGAAGGCAGCCAATGTCTTGAAAGGTGTCGCTACTGTGGCAGCTCTTGATGCTGATGCTCACCAGTCACTCGCTCAGGTTTCATTTAGTAAAGAAATTTTCTCTCTAGTCATGCTTGCAGAACTTGAGCTCATCAGGATATATCCAAGAATTAATATATTTCTTTCTGGTTACTACAATTTTATTTTATTGAAAGTTTGTTCAACTCTATAAATAAGAATTAAAATTCACAAGAAGCACGGTAGGGGATCTTTTGGAAATAAAGCTGAGGGAGCAAAGTATAGAATTTCTATAGAAGAATGAGGAGAAACTTTATATGCATGCATAAATTTGAACAAATTTTATGATTATGTTTGGATAATTAATATCATATTATGAATTCGTGACTTGGGGATTTTTTGGTAGATGGAATACTAGTGTTACATCGCCATATTTACATTTCTGACCGAGCAAGCTACATAATATTTTATCACCTTTCAACTCAATTGCTATAGATATGTTAGCTATAGTTTCTTTTGAAAAGAATTTAATAATAAAGTAATTTATAGCTCTTCTGGAATTTGATGTTTTTGTTTATTTCACATTGATGGCCATTTATATAACGATGAGAAACAACAATGCAATTCATGCAAGGCTGATGTATGTGTGTTATTTAATCGTTGTCCTTATTTTCTTCAGGAATACGGAATTAAAGGTTTTCCTACCATTAAGGTCTTTGCACCTGGGAAGCCTCCAGTAGACTACCAAGGAGCTAGGGAAGTCAAGCCTATAGCTGAGTTTGCACAGCAACAGGTCAAAATTATTTCTTTTTATTTCTGGGAAATCTATTAATAACTTTTTCTGGATTTATTTGCTCCTTATTGCGTATGTAAAATAACCATATTGATTTACTGCACATAGATAGGGTGAATTCTCTATGATTTTTAGCTGTGTTCTTTTATCTTCAGCTATCGCCAACTAATGTTTACTATTTATGGAAAAAAGTTAAAAACAATACAAGTGGAAGAGATAGGTTTTGGTACACAGTTAAACTAAGAACGTTTCACTTACTGATGTAGAATGGTTGTGTCTTAGTTGCATAACATATCATTTTCTTACATGCCTTAAAACTTACTCCTTGAGTGCAATTTTTGATGCTTTAGCATCAATTTACTCAGGGCTGAGCTTCAAGGGGACTAAGGAGCCCATCTGTTTTTCTTGCATTTTCCATCAATTTTATTATTGGTTGGGCTATTTCTTTATAATCTGTAGTGTTCTACGGTTCATTTTTTATTCTCTCTTTTTCTGCCTTTACATGAAAAGGGAATGTGAAGGAGAATACATGATGCCTGGGG